TCAACATCTTTTCATACATTCTTCTCCACAATCATCATCACTACCCCCCTCATCATCATCATCACCACCGTAATCAACATCATCATCATTATCATCGTCATCATCATCATCATCATCTTTGAAAATTTAATTACGTCCATTCTTTCCATTCACTTCTTTCTGGTTGTAATTGTCCTCACTCCATCACGATCCTGCATAATAGCAAAATCTCTATTCTCCTTTTTTCCTTTGTCGTAAACATCATCATCATCAACATCGTCATCATTATCATTATCATCAACATCATCATCGTCATCATCATCATCAACATCGTTATCATTATCATCCTCTTTTTCTTCGTCATTCACAAACGAACGAGAGAAAAAATGGAAAAAATTAGAATAAATGAAAAAACAGACGAGTAAATGAGTGAAATATTGAATAAATAGGAACATGAAGGAAAAAATGAACGAATGAATAATTATGAATGGAGGAATGATACTGAATGGCGCACTCATACGTCCTCACATGGAATGGTTGAGTTTGTTGTCGGTGGTGCATGTTCGTGTACGTGTATTTCTGTTTCTAAGTGTGTGTGTGTGTGTGAGCTAGTTGGTGCGTGCTGATGTGATTATTTGTGATGTTTAGTGTGATATTTCGTATTTATAAGCATTGTAGAATATTTTCATTCCCTCGTTAAATCGCTCCGTCGATTTTGTGCAACAAAGACATTAAACGAGCTCCAAGAGAGGAGTTCTCTGACGTGGAGAATCCGCACGAGCAGTCAGCGTGAAGGAATGCATGAATTTTTTGCAAGACGTGTTGGATCAATTGTCGTGCAGCTGCAACTACAAATTGCAGTCACGACAACTACAAACTGCAGCAGATACAACCGATGCTGCGCTAAAAGCGGGGCTGCAAACGTCGCCACATTTACAACAACCACATCAAAAAAAAACAACTACATCAATTTAGACAATATTTACTACATTTTCCGCAACTACAACAACAACAATCAGCAAACGACATACACAAAATTCGCAACAAAGTTGTAGCAACAACATCAACAGATACACAACACATAACACTATGAAAAGGCATACAATACAATGTTATCTGTGTGAAAGCAAATATGCATGCTTGCACAGTGTCGTTGTTAGTCCAGTGTGACACGTTGGAGTGTTTGTTGTTGTTAGTGTGCCTACAGAATTTCCAGCGGACAGATGTTGCTTCAGTAATTGATAGCTCCATGGTGCTGGAAAATTGATTCTATTCAGTGTTGTCTTGAAGAATTTCTGGTAAAATTTATCTATGCATTTTACTTTAATATACATCATGAAATGTTATTTTGATAATATTAATCTGAAGATATTTTGAAGAATTATAATGTTAGATTAGAAGTGTGTTTATTCTAGCAGCACATGTTTTTGATTGTATTGTGTTGCAGTAGGAATATTGAAACATAATTCTGTAAATGTGTGTGTGTGTGTGTGTGTGTGTGATTGCCTCAGTGCCCTCTCCACCAACATTCACATATCATGCATGCTATTGTATTTATTTTTCAAATGTAAATATTGTGAAAAATTAATTTTTGTAAATATTTTTGCAAAATAAATGTTTGTGGGAAAGTGAATTAAATTTGTAAGAAACGATGAAAAGAAGTGAGATGAACACAATTGTGTGTCACCTCAGCTTACGACGTATGGAACGTTGCAACAACAACCCAAACAACATTAAAACAAGGAAGCAACAACACGCCACCCAACAGCCAACAACACTCGACCAACGAAAATTCACTCCATCCATCTAACGACGACAACTTTTACTCAATTATTCA